TATTTTGGAATATTTTTTCTGATAACTTGCTTGTTTGAATACACAAAATGAAATTGATTCATACACAGAGGTATGATCACTACAGAAGGGAGGTGATGTATAAGTATTTCTAATTATGTTTTGGTTATTTGTACAGATAACCTCAATGGAGGTGGCACTCTCCTGAGTTATACGTATAGGTTCATTAATAAGGCTAGATAAATTATGTTTAGTAAGGAGTCTTGAAAGGTGATGATTAGGTAGAAGGGTTAAAATATCAATATTAATATCACCGGTGAGTACCACATCCATTGAAGTATCAGTTAAAGTATCATCTAGTTTGTTTCAGTTATGCATCCTAGTAAAAGTTTGTGATTATCAAGTATTACTTCTAACCAGACCATTTCAACATCGTCCCTTTTCAATTCAATTCGTCTATTAATCATGATAGTATTTTTATAATAAACAATTATCCCACTGCCTGAACCTGTCGTTCTATCTTTTCTGTGAGGAAAGGACGAAAAAGAGTGCATGTGAATGTCAGTGTTAGATAATAAAGGATTTAGATGGGATTCTGTTATACAAACAATACCAGAATTTTACCAGCTCTGCTTCAATAAGGGATATTTTATTTTTAAGGGACCGCACATTTAAATCTGTAAATAGCAACCAGAAGTCAATAGTACGCGAAAGTACGTTATACTATTAAGTAGAGAAGAAGATACATCTATACAAGCCCCGGCTTACCTTTGATGTCAACTGAGCGAAACTGAGCGAAACTTAAATGAACCAGATTTAGGTTTTGTATTGGCCCAGGATTAATGTATATGCCATAACACCGTATCATAATTATATGATGCGAAATACGAATAAAAGATAAGTTACCGAATCTAGAAAACGTATTAGAATAATACAAACGAATATGACGAAGCTATGATAGATATTGAGATATGGTTTAATCACAGAGGTACGCAACTACTACTGACATTGATATTGTTAGACTTTCAGTCGCTAGGTACGTTATATCCCCAGTATTGGGATATAACGTACCCAGCGACTGAAATGTGTTCTCGGCGGAATGACACGAATTTGGAAATAAAGGATGTATTCCTAGTGTAAAAAATAGTCTTAGAATTTACGCCGGTTCCCTTTTATTAATTTGAAATATTTCTGTACAACTGGATGAAAACCGTATCAAAATCTGTGGAGAATTATTTGAGAAATCTTTGTTTGAAAAAAAAAGACATTTTTAAGCGAGTGTCTTCCCTTTTATTAGGATATAACGTACGCAGCGACTGAAAGTCATACAAGATCAATATCAATAGTAGTTGCGTGCCCCTGTGATATAAATATGAGAGGATGGAGGAAGCTATTTTTTTATATGAAGGATATATATAAGATGTGGAAAGCATCCATGTTTGAAAATGTACATGTCAAATCATAACAGTAGACAATCAGATGTAATTTGTTTTGTGGAATTTATAATCGGGATTTTATGTTTATGCTTTCATTAAAAGGTAAGTCATACACTTATGTATGTATGTTAACAACCTGAAGAAAATGATTAGAAATAAGTCATACAAGTCAAAATAGAGATGACTTCTGGCTTGTTGTATAGCATGCGGCTTGATCCGCAAATAAAATGTAATCGAAGTTCATGAAAAATGCATCTGTCACTTAGGATGAAGACCAGTATATAATTACGATTCTCAACGATAATATGTAAAGCCACTATGTACAGATACATATGCAAAACAAATTTACGTTTACAAATATACTTCATATCATATTTACATTTTGTTGTACATCAGTATACAAACACATACATGCTATTTTGTATCATGATATTTAAATACATGTACATGTTCGTGCAATACTCTAGTTGGCAGGCTGATAGATAACACAAATTATTTCTATTACCGATTTTTTTACATTCCCAGTACCTTTGATTCAATATAATGGGCAAAACCACTACATTTAACGAGAGTTTATACAACATAACATGATGTTTGTAACCTAGTGAATAATAACAAATGACATTTTAAACATGTGAACTATACACAAAAAATTGTACAACCAGAGAAGTTTCAGGAATAATGTAAAGGTGTATTTGCTATTGAGAAAAAGTGTGATTGTAGATACATGTACATAGGTATTTGAGTGGAAATTATACTGTTGTAAAACTAAGTTGAAAAGTACGCAATTTAATATGCTACTGAGAAAAGATTGAGAAACAAGACATACATGTAACTGCTGACAGGAGAAATTTATAAACAAGAGAAAGTTATAAACAAGAGAAAGTTATAAACATAAGCTAGTATAAGCAATAAACATACACATAAATGATCATTTGAATATTGACGTCTACACAAATAAGAAAAAAAAACACTTTACAGTTCTTACATTAGAGTCAGTTATCCCTCATAAGGGAGAGGGGGCGGGGGGGGGGGTTAAAACTTATTGTCTGTACGGACGGCAGGGATAGTGGGTGTATTACCACACGAGCGTTGACGATTGTTAGTATATTTTTCCTAGTACCTTTACTGCAGCCTTCTGCTTATTCTTCATCTCTTCTCGCTTATTTCTTTCCGCTGCCTGCTTTGCCTGCGTTCTTTGAGGTCAAAATGACACTGATCCTTCGAATCTCCCGGCTATCAATTTATAGAAAGTGCTAGTCAATCATATTGCTTAAAATTACCCACACTCGAGATCGACTGCGTTTGATATACTAACTAACTAAAGTCCGAGAGACTCGAGTAAACACTATGATGATGACTCCCGAGAGTTTTCGAAAAGATGCACAAATATGGCTGCCGTAGAAGACGAACCGCTATGTCTGAGACAAACTTTCAACTCTAATGGACTTTAAAAGTTCAGACAGTATGATTAAATGGAATATACATGACAGGTATGATGTTATCTCAACACGCTGACCAATCGTTATGAGTATAAACCTGTATTCTCGTAAAAATACAGATTACACATAGCGGTGGACTTGTAGTCTGCTTATACACATTGTTTCAATATGCACAATATGCTTTTAAACACTTAAATCGTTAATTTACAGACTCACAACATAATACTACTATCTTATTTGGATGATATACTTGTATCATGATACAGTTTGATGAAATACAACAATATGAGATCATTTACAGACGAAATTCCCGTAACAACAAGAGAACAGATTTGGTGTTCATATCGGACTATGTAAGTGTAGTAGGCGGGGTCAAGAGACGAGAGTTTGCCACCAAAATGACTTCGCGTTGTGTAATTTTGAATGATGTACAAACTGTACAAGTCTTGGAACATTAAACCAGTGGCCATTCAACTCCTAAACCCACCTACCAGTTCTTTTCTCCTGATTAGTCGAAGTGTTAGGAACCCAAAACAACACCAGAGGTCAAGTTCTACAAGTTTATTCTAGATTTAAATCCAAGTGTGCATGGTTTCATTCAACAGAAATAGGCACAACAAAACAAACGAAATCAGTTAACCGAGGTGTAAAGTCTGCAGCAATATGGATGTAACAAGATTAGAAATGGTAACAAAAAAGACTCCAGGAAAAGCATAAACTTTACAAAACAAGTTACCAAAAATGAGACAAATTGCAGAAGTGCATGTATAAGACACCGATTTGAGAAGTTTCCATGGCAATTCTCAGTACACACATCACTGACTTGTTAATTGGCCCAATTTAGCCGGTAATTACAATAGCCTAGAATACACCCGGTACTATACATAACTATAACTATCTGCCTACGCGAGAAAGGCTAGACCTCCACATTCCCTCCTAAGGAAACACTTCATATCAAACACTACAACCTCATGTCAATTATGGTGTCAGAAGTCCTAAATGGTTTGAAGTACCATTGTAACTAAGTACAAGATATACCCTGGAGATGATTCAACATGTCACTCTGCTTTCAGAGAGTAGCCCAATAATAACGTTATGACACGTACAGCAAACATGAAGGTGAAAGTTGCACTTTGTTCTCAGGACTAAACCAGCCCATTATGTGTCAATCTGCTTTCATGCACGTGTAAGACTTATATAAGCCCTGACCTCTTGACCCCTAGTGAACCTTTCCGGGTTGAAACCCGTAACTAACTCAGAGGCTCAGTGACTGGCTCCACCACTGTGGTCTCGACCAATGGCAGCGCATTGCACAACTGTTCCTTGGCTCACCTCGCAAGATGGCCGCGTCATAACAAATAAACCAAATTACCGAAGACGACATTCGTGAAACCAGACATAATGGAAAAATAATGCTGTCACTTTTAACTATATGTATAAGACAATGAGCACACACATTTCTTAGATATTAGGCCAACCGGCATAATAACACAACCATAATTTCAATTCAAAATCAATAAAATCTATTACTTAATATGAGCATTGGGATCCTGGAAAAAGTCCCCATAAAAATGACCAGGTTTTCAAGAAGGTTGAACGTCTTCTGATTCGTGGACGATACTCGCCACATAAATATTGGCCAAATTTATGGAATAGAACCTAAGCATCGGACTTAAATATAGCACAATTGAGATTAGAAGTTAGATATTTCTCATCTAAATTATTGTCAAGAAATACAAAACAATTGATTTATTAGTTTATTTTCTTGCCAAAAAATCAATTTATCAAAACCTGCGTTAATCAATTTTATTCGTATTGTTAAGTCTTAACTACTTCATAAGAAATAAAACTATAAATACGGCTTCGGGACGAACAAAAGTTATTTTTTATACAGATACGATAGTAATCTAATCAGTAACAATAACAATCGATTATATAATATTGATATCATCAGTTTATTCATAATAGCAAACGGAAATCACAAGATAATGGAGATGGAATAAAAAGCACCTTTTTGTTGGCATCATTTCAGGTGTTTTTGCTGTTAAGAAACACTGTTACTTTTGACATTGTCTACATAACGTGATTGTTTTTCAGTGTAACAATATCACATAGTGTTAAAAATGACTCATATCTAGTAACACATATTTGACTCTGCAGAAATTAATTTAAAGACCTTATGTATTGACAGTGAAATGCAAATATGGCATCGAGTAAAATACATTTTTTTCTTAATTTTGTGACGACGTCTGCTATTTCACATCAATAAATCATGATAGAAAAACTGAAAGTTGTATACATACCACCGCAAATGACGAAATATTTACATAAAACTTTTAAAAGTGCAGGCTACCAAGGAATTATATAGTGATTTAAATGGTTTCCCATATATATTTCACAAGTATGACTGAATATCGATATTCTGCCGTACGAATGAAATATTTACGGTATTCAGCGGGAAAATAATTAAATCTTCTATTTATTACGTTACTAAAGGGGCTATTTAGTCAAATAACACATTTACAATCGATTAGATACGGAACAAATACCTCCTAGCGATACTTTACGTAGATGATAATGACATAACTTCAAACCAACGTCCAGTGTGGTAAGTTTTTCTTTTCAGAAAGCCGTTGATAAATATCCCCTTCCAGTGAGAAGTAAACATGCACAGTACCACGCTGTCGACCGACAACACATTGTAAGTGTGTCTGATTTTTCTACATAACACATGTTGGTCGCTTCGAATTTACATCCCAAACAAGAGTTATCAATATCATAATATGTACATGTAATGAGATATTTGTTTTTATGGTTGGGTTCGGATAGCAATAAATAGGATTAATTAGAGTATGCACGCAAGAGGGTACCGTAGGGAGAATGTCAAACTGCACACAGAACGATATCAGTAGGTAAATGTTTCTGAGAACCAACATCTTTCATAGATGATATTTCCCCTTTAACAGTTGTTCTGACATCCGGTAGGATTGTTACCGTCGTATCCCCATACCGTGATACACTTTGCCGATCGATCCTATATTTCTTTCTTTGTATGGATGAAGTACGGAGGCGACATTTCCCGTTCAATGAGTAGGCTTTGCCGATCAGTTAAATCTTCTATACCCAACGGTTGATAATATTATATTTGTAGAGCACGCGAAAACGTTGTCATTATACTTTACTGCAACATAAGAACGTTTAATGACGTAAAAACGGGTACGACATAGAACCTATAGATGAACTAACGTTAGACATCTACTTTTCTCCGTCGAATACATGTCTGGCATTAAAATCATACGGACATCGGTAAGGAAGTCCAACGATATCGGCTTCGTTATCTTTTCCGCAAGGTGGTGACATTTTCCGTTCAATGATTTCCATAAGTAGACCTTGTCGCTCGGTAAAATTTTCTATTTCACCAACACGACAACATGCTTTTACCCAACGATTGCTAATATCTCTGGCTGACAAATTATCGAAGTTAATAATGATCAGATTTCGTCGCATGTCATTTCTGTACAGTCTCCATATAGTGTTGAATTCAAATTGAGTGAATGCTTGTTGTGTTATTTCCACTTCATCTCTATCTTCTCTGAAATATTTTTCCGATAGAATGACGATAAAACTTCTGCACGTCTGTATTCTACTCCTGAGGTATTCGTCTCTAGCGAAGGCGAGGTCAGCATCCCGTACAGGAATGAATAAGTTATATCCGAGCGTTTCCAAGTATTTGGCCAGGTTCCTCAAAACCCACTTCCGCTGTTGGTCATCCTCGTCGTAAAATGATATATATGCATCATAGTCGAATTCCCGCGACCTCACTGAACGACGAAGTCTACGGCGATATATAATGTATATTTCTGGAAACAAAAACAAACGCCCTAAAATAAACACTATGATAATAACTACAAAACATGTAAGGCTTCCTAGAATGATGTTCAGTTCTGAAGAGTCCGGGGAACAATCTAACAACGTGAAATCAGCCAACGTGATGTCTTTACCTCCCAAGTTCTGACATATGTATGAGGTGTGACTTTCTTCTTCATGATAAAACGAAAGCCAAGTTTTCATCCACAGATCATCACAGGAACACGTAATAAGAATATGTCCTAACAAAAGATAAGTAGGATTTCTGTTCTGAAAATGACGTGGTATTGATGACAATTTATTTCCTGTTGCATTCAGCTTAGCATCGTCGGGAAAAACTGATGCTGCAATTTCAGAGATGTGTGAGAGTTGATTTCCAGAAAGGTCTAATTCTGCTACACGACTAAGGTAGGGTCTGAATTCCATTTGTTGAATATTATTTCCCGCCAGGAGAAGTTCCAATCTGTCCCCGTTCCCCCACGGCAGATTTTCCGGCATTGTTTTAAGATTCTGTCCCTGACAGTCGACAACAACCCGGTCTTGACTAGGTTGGTTAAAACAATGACACTTTCTTGGACAGGAGTCTGTAATATTGCATATCAGGAGATCCAGTTTTTCTGGATTTGTCTTGTAGATGTCAATCAACTTAGTACCGTTTAATTCGTCTGGTCTTTCACAAACAAAATCTACCAATTGTTGCCAGAATTTCCCAATTACTGCAATTGATGTGTCGTCAGAAAGCAGCTCAGCCATATTGCAATCGCACGTCAGTTGATCACTTATCAATGACACAGACAAATCAAAATTCTTAAATATCTGATTCCATGCATCTAAACCGAAATCAGAATAGTTGAAGAAAGTATGTAAGGATACATTTTCAAATTCAATAATACCACCACATCCAATTTTTTCGTTCGGCACTGTCTTGTAATTGAGCTTATTTTCAATTTGCAGCGATTTTTTGTTATTGGAATATGATATTTTACAAAACGCTTTTAAAAAGAAATTTGTTACGTCGATAGATTCAAGTTGATTGCTGGATATGTCGATATTTAAAATATACTGACCGCCACTAAGATTAAACGAATTCGGTTCAATTCTTGCGATTTTGTTTTTACCGAGGTACAGATTACGTAAACCTTTTAGGTTTTGGAATGTTGAGTTACGTATTATTTCCAGATTATTGTGGGTTAAGTAGAGGGTGTCGAGGTTAGAAAGGCAGTTAATTCCGTCAAGGTTTTCTATCTCATTGTTGTCCAGTACTAGTTCCACAGTTAATGGAAAACTGCATATATTCGTTGGAAGTTTCCGTAAGCGTCCGTGAACGTGAGATAACCTGGTATAATTGTAATTAAAATCATCCAAATGAATGTAAACGATAGAAGATCCTTGGATGTCTGTATATTTAACATGGAGGTTTACGACTTGGCCTTCAAGTTCCCATGATCGTTTGTTTTCACATGCGCAACACTCGGTATCCTGACGACAACTGTCCGGACAGAAGAGATCTGTCATGTTCTCCAGGCGCCATTTGGAGTAGGTCAACATACTTTCAACGGCTACAAAGTATGAGGTAAGACACAGTGAGATAACGCTGATGCAACGCATGGTGTTCGTTGTCTGATCTGTAGATATGTATATCAACTATTTGTTGGGTTTACTTATATATCATATTCTAACAAGATTCGATTGTAACGCATGCTTTGATTGGCTACAGATTATCTTCTAAAAACCGCACTGAAGGCACGCCAATTTTTCAGCCAAATGGACGTTCAACCGTCTTTGAAATAGGCTGTATAGTTTATTGACAAAGTTTAGTTGCTAATCTTATGTTTTAAATGAATAACAACAGTTTGCACAGTGTATGTATTATTGTTTCTTAACCGCTCGAAATGATGCGTGCATAATGATCCATCTGTCTGTCTGATTCAATGTATGTAAGTCTGTATTTGCATGTGTATTATATGTTTTGTGTATACTAGTGCTATGTTTATTTACCCAGCTTATCTTTGTTTGTATTACTATGTTGTATATTGAATTTGTTAGGGTGTGAAAGAAGTATGTTTTTCGTTCTTGTCCTGTAATCTGTTTGCAAATATTTTATGTTCCCATCGTCCTTCCTATTTATTTTGTTTTTGTTTGACTGATGGATGTTGAATGAGAAACCTGCTGCGTGAGGACACCATATTGTTCAGGGGCTCCAAGGCTCCCAAACCCTGGCAGCCTCTATCAAAATATTTATATATGTATATATATCTGTGCTTGGAAGCAGTATATGGATATACATATTTATAAAAAAAAAATCGATGGAACACATATGATATACTGATATAGGTCACAGCATACATAAACATACATGTATATGTATGTTTATGTGTGCTGTGACCCATATCAGTTATAGCACGATATTTGTATTTCAGACATTTGTAACGAACCCCTGTGGATCGATTTGCACAGGGGGTTGATAGGCCTACCGACACAAGGCAGAATTGGTAGCTGGAGGGAGAATTTCTAGGGCTGCACATGACTTGTTACTATCGCTTGCAACCGTGAGCTGATACTATTTTGCTAATTGATCGCTTTTGGTTGGTTGAACAATTTCTTGTGTTGCTTCAATAAAAATGTAAATCTCATCAAGTGGTATCTTTGTTTAAACATGTCAATATGTATCTCCCTTCGCAAAATCATACGCATAGGCAATACTAATCTAGTCAAATTCATCGACAAATGAAACAGGTCACATTTGGTAGTTGCATCGAGTCCAACTTGAGTAAGAATTGAAATATTAATGATTTATTTATTTAAGGATACTTTTAAATGAAAAATGATATATGTATATATATAGAGAGAGAGTAATACTACTTAAAAGATCGGGGAGGTAACTCCAACCAGATAAACACAATGGGGATGAACTCATATGACAGCACACAAACAACTAACAAACAACTCAAAACATACATCCAACACACTTACAGCTATTCTCTCATTAAATGAGGCATAGTCACAGTCAGTAAATCATATGTACAGTAAGAGTAGACTTTGACCAACAGTCCATGTGCATGTATGTGCACAGGTCATTGCTACTTATACTGTTTATAATAAAAAGTAAATTAGTACAAATTTAAATAATGTGATAGAAAAGCAACATTTATTATTATGTTTATTTTATTGGACAGAAAATAAACAAAATATAACAATCCTGATCCACTGAAATCACATCTATAATTTATACATTTTTGTGTTTATTATATTGGAGAGAACATAAACAAAATATAACAATCCTGCTCCACTTAAATCACATCTATAATTCATATATTATTATGTTAATTATATTGGAGAGAACATAAACAAAATATGACAAGACAACCCTGCTATCATTATGCTTCAAAAAAGTTACCACTTTTATATTCCTATTTATATTTCAGATTAAAATAAGAAAAACAAAGGCTTACAATCACTTTTATACATTTAAGCAAGCAATGTGCACATAATTGAACAAATAAAAGGGTGGTATTTACATGACGTCTTTGCAAGGATTCTAAAATGCAGACGTGAAGAGGTGAGTTTTGATGTCCCTCTTGAACTTGGCCAGGGTATTTGACTTTCTAATAGCAGATGGTAAGCTATTCCACAACGTAGCCGAAACCCTCCCAAAGCATATGTTTCCTTAGGTCACAGTACGAGATTTGGGACACACGACAAAGATTCTGACTCCGACCGCAGTGATCGTGACGGCTGATACAGGGTAACAAGCTCCTGTAGGTACTGACGAGCTGTTCCATTCAGTGCCTTGTATGTGTACACCAGAAGTTTGTACTGCGACATGTATCGTACAGGTAACCAGTACAACGAATAAAGCACAGGTGTGATGTGCTCTCTCTCTCTCTATTTCGAGTACGAGTAACTAGCCGTGCTGCATTGTTCTGGACCCTCTGCAGACGACTAGTTAGTTTGTCAGATATACCACAGAGCAGGGCGTTACCATAATCCAACCGAGATGTAACAAGTGAATGCACCAAAATCTTGCATGCATCTGCAGTTATAAACTGCCGAATACAGCCGATGTTCCTGATCTGGTAGTAACAGGATTTGGCAATAGCGTTCACTTGTTTCTCCATGTTCAGTGAACTATCAAAGTATACTCCTAGGTTTTTAACAGCTGGAACAGTCTCAATAGTTCTGTCACCGACCTTGACCTGGAGAGCCATTGTTTGTTGACTTTTGGGGAAAAGACGATTAGTTCCGTCTTTTCCTGATTAAGCTAAAGCATGTTGGCGTTCATCCATATACTGATATCTGTCACACAAGCTTCCAGACTTCCTGAAACTGTATTCCAACTGTCCTGTGGTTTGATGACCATGTACATGTGTGTGTCATCGGCATAGCAATGATAGCCAATGCTATGGCGACGACAAATCTCTCCAATCGGTTTGGAGGACATACAATATTTTCGTGGTCCTAACACCGACCCTTGAGGAACCCCGAAATCTAGTACTTTGTCATGTGAGGTGGAAGATTCGCAGGCAACACACTGTCGTTGTTCACTCAGATAAGACTGTATTCAGCATAGAACGGTATCAGTCACTCCATAAGAATATTCCAGACGTTTATAAAGTATGCCATG